GTTTCCCTCTTGCTACTAGCTGCTCGCTAATTCCTGCTATCAGCTGTTTCCTGTTTATCCACCACCAGTGGGTCGCACGTGCGGCGTCATCAACAATAGCTCCCACAAGTCTTCAACAGCCCCTCCCGTTGCGGAAGGCCGCCTCGGTCTTTATAAACTAAAAGGATTCTGCCAATATGACTACCCTACGAGGCGGAAAATTGGGCACCTCGGATCAACTCGCCAATGTCTAAACGCTCGCAGCTTGCCGGCAAAACAGCCCAACATTGGTAGAAAATCTGGTAGTGTAAAAGGGGCTACTAAGTGTGATAGATGTATGAACCCACATTGTCATTTGAGCCACATGTTTTTTTTTTCCTGCCCACAGTTACATGACTTCTGGTCGAGTTATTTTAATATAATGTCTACCATAATGGGAAAACAGCTACAACCCTGTCCATTGATTGCTATCTTTGGGTCCCCAGATGTGTCAGTTCGATTAAATTCCACACAAAAAGATATTATAAATTTTACATCTTTATTAGCCAGACGTCGCATTCTCCTACAGTGGAAATCTCCTAGGTCTCCCTCTGTTGCACAGTGGCTTCAAGATACTACGTTCTTCCTCAAACTTGAGAAGATTAAATATACAATGAGAGGAAGCACTGACAAGTTCTTTTACAAATGGCAACCTTTCTTATCTTATTTTACAGATTTGCAGGTTCTGCCAGACTAAGGACGTGTTTATTGTAGGGGACTCATAATGCCCACTTTTACTCATTGTTATCATTAATTATTTATATTTTAAGTTTTGTATTTTTTTTTTTTTTGCACGGACTTCTTCTTTTTTTTTTTTAAATGGGACCTTTGTGTGGCTCTCTGTAGCCGCTGTCTTGGTTCTGATAGCCCTGCTCTGTTTTGGTTGGTTAGCATCCGGTGACTTGTTTTGCTCTCGGAACTATGTAAATAATGACAACCAAGTGCTTGTGATCACAGGGAATATGACCATATGAAATGTGAATGTGTTATGAATAGTCAGAAGCAGTAAATGGCAAAGGATGGGTGTGATGGGTACAATGAGTGTCCTGTAAGTTCTGTACAATTATGTGATTGTTTATAGTGAAATATCAACTCTAATAATCCAGGATGTGGTGTATGAATGTTATCAGAGGGCTACTGTCATCAAATATTGTTGTCAATAAAAATATTAAGCAAAAAAAAAAAAAAAAGAGGAAAACAAAAAGTCACATCTGTGCATATTAGAGCTATTTTATGTCAAGAGCTATGGAAAATAAATTTGCCATTATGTTACACAATGTGGAAGATTATCCACAGAACATTACTGTAACAATTAATCTAATTACACACAAAAAATCCCATGACATTTCCAAAACTTTCAAGGATTTTACTTTTTCCATGACTTTCCCTGGCCTGGAAAATGGGACTATGAAATTCCATGACTTTTCCACGTTTTCCATTACCATGGGAATCCTGTGTGCATGTGACAACAATCTCACAAGCTTTACGCAAAGCTTACTGGCATGGCAGGATGGCAAGAAAGAAACGTCATTTGAAAAATTAAGAATTTTTGGAGTAATCACTGATCAAGGTACGTCTTTTAACTCCCATATAAAACAAACTTCAAGGACTGCCTTCTTTCACCTGTGTAATACCGCAAAAATTTTAAGAATAGACTTAGGACTTTTCTCTTTGATCAAGTTTTTAGTTAGGGCTGGCTCAGGCTTGCCTTGAACCAGCCCCTAGTTAGGCTGATATAGGCCTAGTCTGCTGGAGAACTTTAACAAACGTTAATGTCCCATTAATGCATGTTAATAACTCAGCTTTTTCACCAGAGCCTTTTAGTACAGCTGATAAGTTCTCATAACAAAAGCATGACATTTCAAACATAGTTAGTGCATACCATTAGGTTTATTTTCAGATGTAGAGTGAAGTCAGACTGGACCGCTAATGATTGTGAGCTGTCAAATCCAAGATGGCTGACAGTCCACCGGGTCTAATGTACAGTGGTCTAATTTCGGAACCAAACAGCATAGCAAAAAAAGGTAATGTGTCATTTCCAGCTAAATTGGGGATGCCTGTTATTTGGTGAAACTTGATTGCCAGAGCCCAATAAAATGACATGATCTATGGTAAAAATCTGGACTCGTTTCATGTCTTTATAACAGATAGTGCAGGGACAAGAAATAGACATTTAATTAGAGTGCTACAGCATGAGGCATTATGTTACTATTGACACTATGTTGTCACACTGAGGACATTTGTGTATTGTTAACTGCTCCACCTGGCACACAATTTACATGCTTCAATGATTCATAATTCATTTAGCAATGGCACAGATATGGAATTATCTTACTCATCTTTGTGTGGAGAAAAGATCAATAGTTTACTTGCCAAATATAATAATCTGCAAATTTTAATAGTTGATGATATATCCACAGTTGGTCATAAACTGATGGCATTTATTAATTGCAGATTATACAAAGTTCTGGATGAATACTCAATTCTGAGTGGCTGCAGGGTTTCTGTTAAAAACTGATAATGGACACCTAATAAGTAGTTCTGGTGAAACTTAATTAATTTAGTACCTTTTAGTATCTTACATTTAGTACCTTAATAGTATTTCTGTAGTTACTGTTATAGTAGTTATTGCCTTTACTGTTGTTGATTTGTATCTCTCTCAATCTCTCTATGTATTACTGTTATATGGACTACTAGCTATCATTAATGTCATTAAATACACCTGTGCTTTTCTGACTATGACATGTCAAAATGTTCGCCGTGAAAATGGTCTATAACAACGATCTCACACACACCGCAGAAAAATACAGCCAAGCTTGAGGGTATGAAGGTGAATATCCTCAAGTGGCCAAAGTCACAGCCCTGACCTAAATCTGGCAGAAATCTGTAGACAAACCTAAAGGAGATCAGTCCATCACTGCTCACCACAAAATCTGAATAAACTCCAACGATTCTGCAAGGAAGAATGGAAAAATATTCCCCACTCTGAGTGTGGGTTTTGATTTCAGGCTGTAAGACAAAAAGTGACTATTTCAAAGGGGTATGATGATTTTCTATTGAGACTGAAACTATGTTCATTGCTGTTACTGTGATTGTGGCTATTGTTGTAGTTACTGCTGTGGCTGCTATGATAAGCAAAGCTGTGACACATAGGGTTTTAATGTGTAACTCTTAACACACAAGGTTCAAGGTTCAAATCCTAGTTGGGAGTGTCCGATTTCACAACTTGGCAATTTACACAAGCTTGGGTGCTATAAAGAGCAGACAGCCACTTACAATCACGCTTTGGAAGAGGACTTTGGCTTTCCATAAGCACATAGTAACCAAGCTGCAGGGCTGCAAAATTAAGCCAACATCAAGTGCCAAAAACTGCAGTTCCTTGAATGACCACTTGAGGGTGGCTCCAGGAGTGAGTCAATCCTTATAGACCCCCATGTTAAAATGCCCAACTTTACAGTAGAAATTAATACGTTTACAGCCTTGTGCAAAAACTGACATGCCTGTAACACCTCTAATGGGAGGCGCCCAGGATCTATCATCTCTACGGATGAGCCCAGCCACCCATCAGAGTAAACTCATTTTGGCCCCTTGTATCTGCGATGTCATTCTTTCAGTCATTACCCAGAGCTCATGTCCATATGTGAGGGTTGGGATGTAGATGGACTAGTAATTTGAAAGCTTTGCATTCTGGCTCAACTCTCTCTTCACTATGACAGTCCGGCACAGCACCCGCATCACTGCAGATGCCATGCCAAACCGCTGATCTATCTCACGCTTCATTCTACCCTCATTCGTGATAAAGACCCCAAGATACTTCAACTCTTTTGCTTGGGTATACACTATATTTAGAGTATTTTCATTGCTTTACCCTACTGTCAGGACAGCTTTTTTGATAGGGAATTGAAGTGGTTATATCAAAGCCACCACACCTCATTGACAAAAACATTTTGCTTAGCAGAACGCAGAACTGCTGATCTAATCTGGCACCAATTGGTTTAAGTCTATGGTAAAGCAGAGCACATATTCAAATATAACATACACTTACCCTGATATTGATTTTTTAGGTGGTTAGAATATGTTTTGCTGCGGCCCCTGTCCACAGCAGTACATTGCTTTGCTTACATGCCAGCAGATTTGGTTCATCAAAGATGACAGCAAAGTAACACAGTACATAAAATAACCACAGCAGAAATGTCAGAAAGGTCAGACCACTGTGTTTAAATATGTATCTTGAAATGTTACAGTTAAGGCTGAAAATGACAGAATAAAGCAAGTATCCTGAATCTCCACATCTCCACAACTGTAATCAATTGCCAGTTTTCTACCCAGAAGTGATTATTGTTAGCACAACGTCATGGTGATTTGGTCTATAGGAGTAGCTGTAGCTGTTGGGTTGCACTAAAAGACCCTCTAAGGAGTTGGATGTTAAGTTTTTCCACTAAGCACATTTTGTTTTGAAGGTTTTGAGCCTTTTTTCCATTTGAAAAAAAAATGCATTAGCATTATCACAGTCTTTTAGCATTAAGGTTGTACTTAAAGACCCTCTATTCAGTTTTTCCAGTGAGTACATTTTGTTTACATGGGTTTAGGCCTGTTTTTCACTCGCAGAAATTAGTAGGAGCATTATCACAATTAAACATAGTTATGAATGCACTGTGCTAAGCAAGGTAGCAGTTAGCATTTGGGTTGTCGCCACCCTCTTGTCCAAACATGGTCACTTCTGGCTACAAAAATCCAAAATGGTGACGGCTAAAATGCCAAACTCAAGGCTTGAAACGTGAGCCCATAAACCAATGGGTGACCTCACAGTGTTTATGTCCATTATTTTATACAGTCTTTGATAGCAACAGAGGAATCCTCACACGCTGTCATCGGCCCCTTGACATAGCCCTGTATCTTCCCTAAAGGCCTTTAGTAGAGGTGAAGGTCTTGCCACTGTATAAATACTCTAAAGAAGGAAGAAAGAAGAAGTCCTCACTCACCTGAATGCACTCTCTCAATTTGGCTACAGTCCAGTGTGTCTGAGAGGTCAGTGTTTGGCTTGGGGTCAAAGCTTGCATGTTCAGGGCTTCCTCTGCTGGCTGACTCTGTCTCTACGGTGCCCTGCCTCAGAGGCTCTAGAGTGTTGAAGCTGCTTGCCCATTGGCTGATGGGCTCTGCGGGGCGGCCAATAAGAACACCCAGGGAAGGGTCTGACCTCCGACCCTGGAGGACCTTTCGTGTCTCCTCTATTCCACATTGCAGCAGGCGGTAGTAGAGAAGCGCTTGGTCACGCACGCACATATCAGTCTCCTCCTCTGGAAAAAACAAGAGTGTTGACAATATCATCCCTTTCTCTGTTTCGCACGCATAGCTGGCACGCACGCACACACACACACACACACACACACACCTATGCAGTAGTGCAGTAGCCTTCCGAGCATGTCTTGTGTCTCAGCAGGCCGGCACATAAACAGCCTCATGGTAGTTGTCAGCAGCTCCATCTTGACTCCCAGAGAGGTCTCGCTCCTCACTCCATCAATGAACACCTCCAACGTGTAGGGGGCGTTGGAGACTCGCTCCCCGTACACAGATAGCAACCACAGCAAGGCTTGCCTGCCCTTATGAAGAATAAGGAGAATGAGCAGAGGATTTAGACTCACTATAAAAGCCCTGGACACCAACTGAGATGTTTTCTGTTATCTTGCTGATCAGATCTCTGATCAGGTTTAAATGCACCATGTGGAGTTTGTGACCACTAGCAGTGGGTGTGGTGACACGGGTGATGTGGTCAGTGCCTGAAATGGGCCAGTACACACTGCTACTGGGCTCTCTTTGTGCAGAAATCATATAAACAGTGAAGTTAAAAACTTTTTTGAACATCGGAGTGCAGATCCAAAGCAGTGTCATTAAACTCAAGTGTCATTTGGGCCCTGCTTTTACAGCAAGGGCAAAACTCATATTGTAAATGTGTGCATGTGTAACTTCAGTGTCACACACATTGTGGGAAATCTGAGTGCGTTCTGCTTTGAATGTATTTATTTATTCATTTAATTTTTCTACATCTACAAATCGTTTCTACTAATTCCCAATTTTGAATTGTGTAGTCACTATCTCTGAACATCATTTCAGAGACTCAAAATTTTCCTGCCAGTTGTTTGACCTCAATTAAGGGGTTTCGGATGCTGTTCAACAATCTGACAAGCTCACTGTTTGAAGTATACTGACACCTTAAGTTGTCCCACACTAACAGGACAGGGAGATACTTCAACCACAGTGTGTACACGCCAATACAGTCCTGAGGAGAAGTATAATCAGTGACACAAGTGGGTGTGCAGGGCTTTTAAGGCATAATTTACACCAGCAGGATGAGGTTCAGAATATCTCTATTTTTGCCTTTATTGACAGGACAGAGGGTGAAAATGGGGAGACAGAGAGAGAGTGGGGACTGACATGCAGCAAAGGGCCGTGAGCTGGATTCGAACCCGCAGCCACTGCGGCGAGGCAATGCCTCTATACATGGGGCGCCGGCACTATCCACTCTGCTACTGACGCCCCAAGGTTCAGAATATCTTACAGTGGGGTGTTCATCTACTGGCCTGCAACATCTAAAACTTCTACTACAAAACATTTCAGAGGTAGATATTGTACTTTTTACTCCACTATCATCAACAGTCACCAGTCACATTTTTTTTTTTAAATTATCTTTTTATTACGTTTAAAGTCAACATATACAGAGTGATTATACTTTGTACACTTTTTTTAACAATTGAAACAGTACAAATTGGACAAACAGAAAAGAAAGTAAAAGAATTAAAAATAGAGGTAAAGTAAAATAAATTAAAAAAAAGGCGGGCGTGTAGCATAGAAAAAAACAAACATGGGGGGGTCACATTACAAATGATGTTTCATTATAACCTGAAGTCTGATCTATGTGGGCTAATGAAATCAATGCATCCTTTCCAGCATTTTTCAAATTGATCCATCTTGAGTCTTAGAGCGAATGTTAATTTTTCCATGACGTAAATTTCATGCATCACATTGAACCAGTCTACTAGTGTGGGTGCTCTTTGATTTAGCCATTTTTTTGTGATCGCTTTTTTACTGGCGACCAGCATTATGTTGAACATATATAATTTTGAGAAACCTAAAAGTTGGTGTGGCTTTTTACCCAAATACATAACTTGAAAACAAAAATCAATGTCACATCTTAATACATTTTTCATACTGTCTCTAATTTCAATCCAATATTGATGAATCACAGTGCATTCCCAAAACACATTAAAGTGATTTGCTCTGTCTGTCCCGCAGCCTCTCCAGCATGTTGTCTGCCTCCCCCCAGGGTGCTTGAATGCAGGTGTTAAAAAATATCTGACCCTGTTTTTCCAATTAAACTCTCTCCATGACAAAGAGTTAGTTGATTTCCATTGCATGTCATTTAAATTTTCCCAATCCTCTAGTGATAGTACAAAGTTTCCTTCATTTTCCCATCTTTCTTTTATGTAAGATGTATTGGTCCCACCTAATTCCTGAAGGCCTTTATATAACTTGGAAACAGTCCCTGCACCTAGGTCTGCTCTGTATGCAGCAATAAAGATTCTTAACACCCCTGCTCCAGATGTAGATTTTCCCAGATCATCTTTGTTAATTATTCTTTTTGTATGGTGCCTTAACTGCAAATATCTAAAGAGGTCCTGGTTGATTATTCCATATTGATACTTCAAGCNTTTGAAAACTTTTAAGAAAGGTTTTTTCAAAGAGGTCCAAATAAATATTGATCCCTCGCTGCTGCCACAACTTAAAGGTTGCATCCAGTCTGTTTGGAGTGAAGCCTGGGTCATCAGCCACCCACCTAATCAATGAATAAGGCTCCTTCTGCCAGTATAACTTCACCATTTTAAACCAGGTTTTAAGTGATACCTCTAGCCATGGGTTAGGCTTTGCCTCAAGATGGTGTTTTAATTCATTGTCCCCAATGATGGCCTGTAATGGGATCTTGCCCAAGAAATGGCATTCAATGGTTTTCCATATAGCTGAATAGCTTGGGTCACAAATATGGATCAAGGGTTTAATCTGGGCAGCTTGATAATAAGTTTTTAGGCAGGGGAGAGCAAGGCCTCCTTTACACCTTGGAACATGGAGTGTCTGGTATCTAACTCTAGGTTTCTTTCCCTGCCACAGAAATCTCGAAATCCACTTATCCCACTCAGCAAATTTCTTTTCAGGGATCTCCACTGGAAGTGACTGAAACAAATAAAGCAGCCTCGGGAGCACGTTCAATTTAATTATTTCTATTCGTTGAATCAGCCCCAGGAAGGGCAACAGGTTCCACCTGTCCAAATCCTTTCTAATGTTGGAGAGCAGAGGGTCATAGTTTTCAGAGGTTAGACTTGTAAGGTCCTTTGGTATTTTCACACCCAGGTAATTCAATTTGTTCACTTCATTAATGGCATACTTATCTCTGAACTGTTGACTTGTCGTGTATTTGAATGTTAGCATCTGAGATTTATGTGAGTTTAATTTGTAGCCTGATATTGCTCCAAAATCTGAAAGTGTTTGCATTAGTGCAGGAAGAGAGGAGGCCGGGCGTGAAAAGAACACCAGGACGTAATCCGCAAAAAGTGCTATCTTATGTTCACCAACCAATGAGATACCATGTATATTATCATTTTGTCTGATCATTTGACTTAAAGGCTCTATAAAAAGGGCAGGAGAGGACTAATAGGACATCCCTGTTGACAGCCACGCTCCAACTCAAAGGATGCTGAAAGGGAACCGTTTATTTTAATTCTTGCTGTTGGCTTATTAAAGAGACTCTGGATTGTCCGAATAAACGTTCTATGAAATTGAAATTTAAGCAGAGCGTTGTATAAAAAAGACCAACTTACAGAGTCAAACGCCTTTTCGGCATCCAAGCCCAATATGATTGCTTCAGTTTGTTCCTGGTTTATCTGATGGATCACGTGTAATGTACGTCTAATGTTATCTTGAGTTTGCCGCTGTTTAATAAAGCCTGTTTGATCCAGGTGTACGATTTCAGGCAGAATTCGTTCCAGTTGTTTAGCTAATATTGATGCAAAAATTTTGTAATCCTGATTTAAAAGGCTCACAGGTCTATAATTTGAACAGTCCAGCCTATCTTTTCCCTGTTTGGGGATAACTGTAATTACTGCCTCTCCCAGGAGGGGGGAGGGTCTCCCCCCTGCAGCACCCAATTGAATGTCCCAAGCAGCAGGGGTGTCAAAGGTTCCCTCAGTACCTTATACCACTCAGATGTGTATCCATCCAGCCCTGGACTTTTGTTAGATTTAAGGTTGGAAATTGCCCTGTTCAGTTCCTCTGCCATTATTGGTGCACACAGAGATTTGTTTTGAGCCTCAGACACTGTTGGGAGGTTTAGCCCCTCAAGCAGGAGGTCTCTTAGATTCTTGTTTTCCAATCCTGGTTGGGTATATAAATTTTTGTAATAAATTTCAAAACACTGACTGATATCATTTAAGTCATATTTTATACTACCATCACTTGAGTCTCTAATCTTATAAATATTCCTCTCTGTTTGCTGCTTCTTTATTTTATACGCCAATAATTTAGTTGATTTGCTACCCACTTCGTAGTACTTTTGCTTAACAAACATTAAGTTTTTAAGTATGTCTCTTGATTGGTTGTTATTTATTTTAGTTTTTATCTGATGCATCTCCTTTTCCAGGTTTGCATCCAATGTTGTTTTATGTTTCCTTTGTAAATCTTTTAATTTTGCTTCAAAATCAATAAGTTCCTGTTGTTTGCTTTTTTTTAATGCAGTTGTCTTAGCAATTATTTTCCCCCGTAACACTGCTTTGCAAGCATCCCATAGGATGGAGGGAGAGACCTCTCCGTTGTCATTTTCTTCCACATATTTTTCTATTTCAGCCCTCAGCTCCTCCTTCATCTTCCCATTTAGAATAGAGTTATCTAATCTCCAAGATGTAATCCTTTTTTTACAGTTGAGTAGTACTTCCATCTGAACTGGGCAATGATCTGATACATCCATTACTCCTATACTGCAAGTTTTAACCAAATGCACATCCTTGTAAAACATCAAAAAAATAATCAATTCAGGAGTAGGCAGAGTGGGGATTTGAATAACAGGTGTAGTCTTTAGTTTTGGAATTCCCTCCAAACATCAATTATACCTGATTCAAGCATTATGCTGTTGATTTTTTTGCTAAGTGAACTGTTTTGGGAGGAGCTCCAACGTGAAGAGTCTAAACTGGGGTTTAATCTAATGTTTAAGTCTCCTCCACATATCACGAGGCCCTGGGCTTTAGATAGCATTAAGTCAAAAATTTGTTTATAGAAGGACCAATTTGCCCCAGGAGGCGCATAGACGTTCAGAAAAGTAACTTCTGTTCCTTCCATTAATCAACCCACCATAATGTATCTTCCCTCCCCATCTTTAATTTCAAACTTTACTTCAAAAATAAATCTTTCTGATATCAGTACTGAAACCCCCCGTCTTGCGCCGAATTTGTAAGAGGCTGAAAAGACCTTATTAAATCCCCTTCTCTTCAGTTTTGCGTGGTCTGGTTCAGAGAAATCTGTCTCCTGTAGGAACACGATTCCCACCTTGTCCCTTTTCAGT